TAAACTATATATGTAATATATTGCAGAAATTACCAATCTATCCACTTTTAAGAACTGTCACTCATCATGCTTATGCAAATTTGCACACACACACACATGTATACACATAATTATATGTGCAAAATGTACACACAAGTGATTTCAACATTGTGATTTATGGAACCTTTAATAACTCACTTTTTGGTCATAGTGGTTGCAAAAAATTAAGCAGGAAAAAATGGAACATTTAAGCAAGGACTGCAGGAAGTTCATAACAAATTAAGCATCATATTTCAAGAAGTTACATTACACTAGTTCAAAGGAGAGGGAAGAACAGTATGAACTGGTTTAGTGTATAAATCAGTTTTTAGACAGTAAGTTCAGTTGATGAGCATGATGTGATAAGGCTAATCAACAGCTTAGGGCTATTAGCTATACAGAAGGGTGGGCCCTACATTGTCTCATAAATGAATGCTGCAATTAATAAGATGGAATGAAGTTCGATTGGAGAACTTGCTGACAGATATCATGCTAAGCGCTGGTACAATGAGAGCATGCTGTCTGCTGCTCCTTTGGTAAATCCAAGCTCCAAATCTTCTGGAAGCTATAGAGGGAAACGTCTCCCTCAGAAGCAGTCATGGCCTTTGTCACTCAGACTTACCACTGGATTCATAGCTGGGCCTGTAGAGAAGCAAAAGTTATAAAGAAAAGTAAACATTAATGGGCTGTGCATCCACACTTGGGTTGAAGCAGCAGTCACTGTGGCCAGGATTGCGAGAAGAGCAATAATTACCGAGAAATCTCCAAAGTGCACCTCTTTGAGCTAACCTTCACCCTGCTTCACCAACCTGAGAATTAGTTCTCTTGTTGAGGAGCTAAGGGTTTCCTTGTACACTTAGATCTTAATCTATGCAACAATTTGGAGGAACTATTTTTATGACTCTCAATTTCATTTTCAAGAGAATAAAATTAAAAACATGTATTTTGCTTAATTACTGGTAGAGAATACGGGTGTTTCTATGAAAGCCTATTACTGAATAATAAAAGTCAGGTTTGAGTATTAGGGAGTTGTATCATGGTCTTAAGCGAATCATTTGTCAGATTAAGTGATCATGACACTGAAGACTGAACTCCACTGGAAACACTTCACTCCTGTTGGGTTACACTCATAGTCCACACTACAATTACCGTTGTTTATTACCTGGCAGAGTTGGCAGCATAGACTAACTTTTGTCACCCAGATCTCACTAAATTTAGCTTCACAACCAAAGGTTCTAAAGGGGGGGAAAAATAGTCCCACGCTGTTCAGACACTCGTCTTCCTTAGAATCACTTTTAGTTGTTAGCTAAATTCATACAAACCAGTCAGAGGTCCCTGAGCTGTGAACAGTTAGTTTCTAAATTCTATTTTTCCCAGTGGAAGTGCCTAATGAAAACAGTAAGACCACAGGCTGCCCTTTGACTCTGAGGACACTATTACAGATTCTCCCCCAATTAGGATCACCGACAATTGGTTGGTTGTGATTATCACTGTGATCTGTGGCCATGAGTAGCATGAAGTTAATGCCCCACTTTTAATTAAATCTCGACTAAATGTTGCCTTAACCAGCTGAGGCATAGTAAGTGCATGTAAGATGTTAAAGATCTCACAATTTCCATCACGTAAGATGAATGTTCTCATCTAATTAGTAAAATTGGGAGTTTATATGCTTTATTGTAACTTATAATCTAAAGCAACGGTTCCCAAATGCAACTGCACAAAGATCGCCTCAGCCCTACAAAATCAAATCTACAAGAGGCATCAGGTTTGTTTTGAAGCCTCCCTAGGAAATTCTGGTTTTAAAACACCAAAGCACTTGCCATTCCTCTTTTGGAATAGTTTAGTCTGTAGCACATTCTTGTACGACCTTCATGAGTACAACCCTTTGCTTCTTTGAGAATGGATTGCATTATTTTTAATCAGTTCAAGTCAGTTTGGTGAATATGAATGCCTTATTGGAAATTTGGGTAATACTAATTTTGGTCAAAAAAAAGTTAAGAATGCTTTCCTTAGTATTGCAAAATTGCTTTGCAGGCAAACTTTAGATTGAAAGGGCACTCCCTTCTTTCCTCCTCTTCCATTCAGATGTAGACATTGCATAGGTTTTGGGCAGAATCTCTCTACATTATACTTATACATACTGGTTGCCTATTGCTAAGGCTGCACTGGAACAGAACACAGATTTTGTCCTCACCCACCTGATGCCATGTCCCTTGTGGTACGTTTTCTGTCTCTTCCGACTTACAATTCTATTCCATTAAAAAAATCATTCTAGTGGATACCTTTTAATACAGAGAACAGCATCATATAGGAAATGTGTTAAAATTCATTCTACAGATATTGATATCTAACATCAGTTCTATAAACAAAATTCCTACATACTGTATACACCAATATGCACAGACAATATCACAAAAATTTTCTTTTGGTTAGGATCTATAAAAGTTCCACAATATCAAATCCTCCAGGGAATATTTTCTAATTGATCAAAACAAGCTTTCACCAAAATACTCACCAAGAAAATTTACTTTCAGATCCAAATTCAATTGATAGTTCTGATCAGAGTCTGCCAAAACTGGGGACACATTAACACTCATTAAAAGCACAATTTTCAAAATCAGACAGAATTGGGCCCAAATTCCTGGACCCCAGTAACTATGAGAGGCATCTTGAATGAGTTTTTCTATCACTAAGTCTGAGTATTTTCTTTCATAAGATGTTAAAACTCAAACAGCTTTAAAATCAGCATTTAATACCATCTGGAAGAAGCCAGCGGTTGCTTTACATTTTCAACTTTTTAGTTAGTTGAAAACCAAACATGAAATAATTTCCATTTATAAAAATATAATCCTTATACAATCAAATATTAGTCATACTCCCAAAAATGCAGTACACATTTTATCGTTTGATTCTTTTAGGACTTTCTTTCAAGACATTTAGTGATCATTAGGCACATTCATCTGAGATTTACTGAGCGCCTACACCCACCACATGCCAGACATTGTGCTGAGGAATTTAAGTATTGCAACTGCAGAAAGAATTTTGAGAGTTAGCAATTATAATTATCCCCACATTGCAAGAATTCTTACATACAATTTTAGGTATTACTTGGACTGTACTTTCTCATCTGAGTATTGAAATTTGATAGTTTCATTAAGTTACTGGGGGAACAGATCAACAGTGCTTTACCATAAGAAGAGTTCGTACTGAGAAGGCATATCAGCATCTTAGGGGTTTGGGAATGGAACATGTCTGTTTACAATGCGGCACAGGTGATTCTAACGCATCCTTCCCCATCCCCTTTTAAAATTCATTGACATAAAGAATCCTTGCAATGACAACCACATTTTATTTGTGAGGCTGTTCCCTAACTGCAATGAATTTTCAATCTTTAAATAATATAACTATGTAACAATTCAAAGTAAACACTGTCCTGGATTTGAGGATATCAGAGAATTACAATTAAACAAGTGAACAAAGATTACATCATTTTGCAGTTGGAAAACTACATATCCACCCTCCTTAAAATTCTTCAAGTATAAGTCACCAAAATTTATTCACATCAACAGGATTAAATAAATGGTTAGTATGCATTAGTCTCTGAAATTAAGACATTAAAAAAAAACTGAGAAAAAGAACATGAATGACTTCTTGCTGAAAAGAAAGCAACATCAAAATGCATTATTATGAGCTTACATAATACTCAGGACCTAAAACACACAAGCATGTTAGGCGATTCAATTTTGTTTTTCAATGCAGCATCATTCTCCGATCATTCAACTAAACTGCAACTGACTGAAATGCAACTGAGTACAAATGGTTGCATTCTCCACCATTCAACTCAACTGCAATTCAGAAATGTGTTGCAATATAAAACATTTAGAAGCGTAAATATCAAACCTGTGCCTCCCAATGGACATGTCTCTAAATTCTAGATTTCACTGGTATGTCCACACTTGAGATAATGACATAAATTTAACTTTACAACTTTTAATACTTTAAACTAGTGCTTAAATTTTTCTTTTAATGTCTCATTTCAATTTCAAATGAAGTTTTTACAAGCTTCATATTTATTAACTTGGCAATGAGTTATTCTAATAATCCCCAAGGTGTTACATATCACTTTATTGGGAATTGAGAGCAATATTCTGAAACCTTAAATACTAGTATCTTCCTATAGATTTCTGTTACAGAAATTCCAATTATGTAAAGAATCAGAAGCGAAATCCTTCAGCTTTCTATGTTACACCTGACCTACTATCGCTCAAGTATGGTGAAAGTATCCTGAGAATAATGTTCATGATAGTTTTCATTTGTATCTTAATTGCATCATGGTAAAGTGGGAAATGTAGAGACTAAGAGCATAAGGTTTATAATTCTAGAATACAAATGAAGGCAAAATTAAATGCAGTAAGAGCTTATCTGCAAGTCTACAAGGAAAATTATAACCCAAGACGCATGGGGAAAAAGATTTATGTGGAGTTTTTAATCCATATTAGAATTCAGTTGTAACTTGACCATAAATTTAAACAGAAACCATCTTCTGAGACATACATTCTAATAAATGTACCAACAGTACTGGTAGTCAATGAAGGGTCGGTTATTTTAAATTATTAATAACATTTCATTTTTCTATCCAATAGAATCTATAGTGGTTTGCCCCAATTACATATCTGAAACAATGTCTTATTAAAACAAAATGAGACAAAATTAAATGGAAGATAAAAATACTCTGAAGTTATTAAAAATAAAGCAAACTATAATTCTTGGCAGATCCATCAGGTAAAAAACATTGGTGGAAGTTGGAAGCACAGGATAACCGACACGAATCTTCAGCACAAAGCACATCTTTAAAAACATGAATCGATGACTCTTTGGAGGACAATAGCTAAATATCCAAGAATCATCAGGTTTGAAAAATATTGCTTAATCACTTTCCAAAACACAGTTAGCTGCAAGAACTGAAGATCTTGTTAAAAATATCAAGGTAATCATATTTATTGCATCTTTAGAATGCATTTCGAAACAGAAAATTAACATGCACCTCAGCTTCACCAAAATATATATATTTAAGAGGGGGGAACCTACGATATTTTATAAACAAAGTGTAGACTATATGTGCTTTTCAGAGGGGCTGAATTAAATACAACCAGCTGCCAATGTTGTGCTCTAACATACTTGAATTAGTGGGTATGTGTATGCTAAATTCATTTATTTTTGTCAACAATAAATGAAATAAAAACACTGCCCTATACAATCCACTATCAGCAGTGAGTACAACAGCAAAAAATTGTACAATAATTTATACATACTAAAATATTCTTTTTCTCTAGAGATAATGCAGAACAAAACCTAATCATTATAAGACTTAATTTGGGAAATCTCAAATTACAATAGGGAAAAACCAAATCAAGGTGTGTATTGAGCCCAAAACAAAGGTTCCTGGTCATAAGGCTATAAGATTATAAGTGCAAGTGGTAGTAGAATAAAGCATGCTCAAATTGTATGCTTGGGTCGTTGTATATTTATCAAACCTTTAAATTAAACAAGACTAGCTAAAGAAATGCCTTAAGCATAGCAAGATAATTGGGAATCGTGTCATTTCCTTTACCATTTTTGTTACCCAACTTATACAATGCCAAAGTGCTAAGCAACACTACAAAAACACATTTACATCAACACTGAAAGACCTGGGGAAATGAAATCCAACAATTTTATTTTAATGAGCTTGTATTTTCTAAATTTTGTTTTATTTTTTCCTGTTTTCATACAGTATTGAAAACAAAACGCAGCACATTCACATTTTCCCGAGGAACTGTAAAGATGATCTCTACAGGGATAAACGTTGTAAAGCCTGAAGCTCAATCAATTGATGTTGAAAACTCTCAAAGGAGTAAAGGCTTGATCTGAATGGTCTAGAACATGTACTGTAATTTAATAGAAGAGATGGTCGTCTTAATATTTAATGATTTAAAAGAACTTCCCAGTCCATGCGAAGAGTACAGTCCAAGAATAAATCAAATTTTTGAACGCATTTTATGCTACATATGTGTATACTTTGCGATCCTCAGGTGTTCGTGCCAAGTATTCTCTCTCAATAAGTCCTTCAATACGCTTCTTAATAACAACTGGACTTGGTAAGAATCGAGCCTTCAACTGCTGAGTTACCTAAAACGAAAGGTAAAACAACGATTTCTCACCAGAAAATTTAAAAAGCATAACATTTCCATATTAACACAAAAATTCTTAATTTTGAATAAAAATGATGTGTCACTTTAAGACTCAGATCAAACTTTAGTAATCTGATTACCTCCTCACATCAGAATGTGAATACTACAGTAGGTTAGAATTAATGGAATATATTATAGTATGATGTATACTAATACTTAACCATTTTTACTTCTGGGATATCCTCCCAATTCACAGAATTTGGGTAGCATGTGTGTAAGAGCACAAACTCTAGACCCAAACCGCCTGGACGCAAATCCCAGCTCTCTGATTTACTAGCTCTGGGACATAACCTCATGACGTTGCTGTGTATATTAAATGTTAACAGAGGTGATGCTTTAGAATAATGCCAAGAGCTACTGTTGCCATTATTTTCTCCAACTGATGTCAGGATTCTAAGTATTGTGACACCAGTTATAATAAAACAGTAACTATAGCAGCAGCCAAAGTCTTGACTGTGCACTATCAGGCATTTTGTATATATTCTAATGTAATGTTCTTAGCCCTATAAAGTAGGTTGTCTAATTTTTTCAAGTGAAGAAAATAAGCCACAGAGGAAAGCTGACATCAACAAGTAGTAAACTGAGCCAGTAGATAGAGAAGAGAACCCACACCGCTCTGCTCCAAGTCCATGCTTTCCCCAGGAATCCACTGGCCTCTCTTGCAGAGCATTCATCCATAAGCCAGCTTTTTTTTTTTTTTTTACTCCTGCTGGATCAGCTCATTTCCCAAGGCCACAGCGAATTGATAATCCTTTGAAGTCTGAAACTTCAGCATCTCACTCTCCACCTAAAATCTATCATCTTTCTAGTATTTTTATTCCAGTATCAACAAACTTGTTCTCAACCCACCTGAGATCTCTAATCCTCTGACCCTTTCTTCTAACAATCAGACAATCTACTTTAATAACTTCTTTTGAACTTACCTCATTCCTGATGGGGGTTTAGATTGCACATAAGATCATTTCAACACTCAACAGTATCCTCAACTCTGATTCCTTTGGTTCTAGTCTATAAACACCATTTCAACATTTACTACATCATGCAAAAACAACTTCTTAGCTCCCTGCTGAGTACAATTGTAATTTATAATACCTTGTGTAGAGACCAGGAGGCAGCAAACTGCAGCCTGCAGGCCTAATACAGCCAACTGCCTATTTTGTTAATTCTTACTAGAACACACTCACTTGTTATCTGTGGCCATTTTCATGCTACAACTGATTATTAAACACACATACACACACAGTCTGCCAATCTCTGAAACAGACTGATAACACTAATTTATAGTATTCAAGTTCAGCAAGTTTCTAAGGACAATAACCTCACATCCTGTTTTATGTAGGGAAAAAAGACCATTTTAGTTTGAAATTCCTCAAACTCCCACCTTACACATATATGTTTAGCCATACTTGAGTCCTTTCTTTACTAACACACCCCTGCACCCTGTATGCTGAGGAAGAGGAATATTCAACATTCCTCTTAACACAACTACCACCCACCTGTGCTCTGCACAATCCTCTCCCCTTTCCTTTGACTTTGGTACCCCAATTATCCCCTCGTTTCATTTTTTTCCTTTTGTTTTTAAGCATTCCTTTTGAAAATTTTTATCCTTATATAAACATGCTCAGTATCTTCCCATCTAGAAAAATGAAACCCAGAAACCCTCAACACTCAACCTTTAACATTGCTCTTTGCCCTTTCCCATGAGCGAACATCTCAAAGGCCAAGCCACTCTCTTATGGTTGCACCTTCATTTTACTTCTCAAGGCACTGCCATCAAATACCCACTCTTAGCAGTCCAATGAAAATGCCTGGGAAAACTAACCAGTCACCTAAGTGCCAATATGCTGTAAGTGTTTGATTTGATTTTTCCACTTTTGAAATTTGTAACATGTGAACATTCAATAAATGGTAACTGATTAATTTTAGAAATAAAGGTAGTTTGTTTTATACAGAAGTATTGAATAGTAGTGAAATTTTTTTGTTTTCATGTGACAACATTCTATGATTTTCATAACAAATATTAGTTCTTGAAGTGTGCACATATTTCAATGTATGGCTGTGATTAAATATCAAATGTGCCATGCTTTTAATAGTATTACCTGATTATAGTTTCCTAACTTGAAAATTCTATTTTAAATCAGTTGAATATAGTACTTTCCTAAATTTCAACTGTTCATGTTGTTTTGCTGTTCTACACTAATCCAGCGTCAGTGTCCTCACCTCTGCTACTAACACATTGTGCTGCATCTTCTTTCTAGACTTCATTATCCGCACTATAGCAGCTTCTATCTCATGTTTCCTGTCGTCATCTACTTTCTGCCTTGTTTCTTTCCTTTCTGGGTCAGATTCACCTTGTTTGGCAGCAACTAAAAGAGAAATAAAGACATTTATGTGATTATCGTGTAATTTTAAATGTAATGAAAAAATGTGGTTTATAAACAAATAATATAAATTAGTAACATTCCCTGAGAAAAACTACAGCGAAACCTTGTTTCTAGAACTTAATTCGTTTCAAGAAGGCTGTGCAAGAAGTGATTTGTTAGAAAACCGAATCATTTTTTCCCATTAGAAATGTAAATTGAATTCATTCCAGACCCCCAGATGATTCCATTTAAACCTTTCATACAGTACATGTCTAATGTACTGTTTAATTTATAAACACTTTTCTTAAATTTATTGAACCACTCCCCACTAGCCTGAAACCAATTTTTCATTTATCACTGCCTCGAAATTTCTATCACCAGCTGCTTTTTGTCCAATCAACAGCAGTTTTTCTACCTATTCAATTGCCTGTGACTGTTGTTTTGTGAGCACTTTCATACCCTTAGTACATTAACACTCTTGATGGCCTATTTACATTTTAAAATTGTGGTAATCATCGATGTGGATTTTGCCAGCAACAGAAGCATTTTTTCTTGTTTGTTGTCCGAGAGCTGCTTTTAGTCATGCTGAGGTATCAGCATAAAAGGGATGTCAGGGTGAAAAGTGAAGTGTTGGTTGACAACCAAGACATTTTTTCTGAGAACTTCATCCAGAACCGAATTGTTCGAGATGGGAGAAATTGGATAATCAAGGTTTGACTGAAATTTCAACCTGACTATACACATATACTCATCATTTCTAGTAAACATCCCCAAAGTGCCCAATTCAGTGATTAATAAATACTTAAATAACAAGTAGTGATATAAAAATCCTACAATCCTAAATTATTTGTTTTAAATATTAGGAATTTATTTTTATAGAGATAAGAAAACCAATTTTATTTTTATAGAATATGATTCCTTTCCTGAAAGAAAAATGATAGGTGGTTATCTTTAGCAGTTAACTTATCAGTCATTTTCATTGTTTCTAACTTCCACAGGTCAACTACTACCACTTCAACTCCAAGCTAACCCTCACTAAAAGTATCTCAGGTAAGAGAATACCTGATGGCTTACCAACTCAAACTATGGCTGTAATCTCTAACGCTTAAAGAGGAGGAAAGAATGCCAACTAAAGAAACTCTTTAACAATTATTTACACTTCTCACCAATTATCTAACAATTTGTCATGTATCTTATTAAATTTTTTCTTTTACAATCTCACTGTCAATAGGCATACTATATTCCAATCTTCAGGAGAAATCTTACTCTGTTATTCTCTATAGCAGGGGTCCTCAAACTTTTTAAACAGGGGGCCAGTTCACTGTCCCTCAGACCGTTGGAGGGCAGGACTATAGTTTAAAAAAAAAACTATGAACAAATTCCTATGCACACAGCGGCGGCAAAAACACCCGGCGGGCCAGATAAATGTTTTCGGTGGGCCACATGTGGCCCGTGGGCCGTAGTTTGAGGACCCCCGCTCTACAGACTTCAAGGCAATTGCTAAGGGATTAAATATAGAAGTTCCTTTCTCCTACAACTTCGCTCTCTTTGAAGTAACAGAGAAAGAAAAATGATTAACTAAATTTTGGGTTATTGGTGTTCAATAGGAGATAGATGTGAAGTCTGTGGTGGCAGAAATTGGAAAATTACAAAGAACCGTAAGGGATACTGCTGACTTAGGCAGGGGCACTCCCATGAGACAGCAGACACACAATTCAGATCATTCTGGTATGGCCATCACATATATTTCTAAGTTTCTAGCTGTTTCTAACCAGAATCCCTTGGCTGAGAATTCTGCTGTCAGTGTCTTTCCAAGTTAAAGATCATCAGTCTTAATGAAAAAGAATTAAATTAGATGAATGCTTTTCCTCAAAAAAGTCCATGTCACTTAAAAAAGATAGGGATTGCTTTCAATAGAATTAAATTCAATTGAGACATATAATTTTCTTGGGTGTGATATAGGATTACAATTATGGGGGAACGATCTTATTTTAAGGACGTATATGTATGCTGAAGTATTCGGAGGGAAGTGATATGTTTGCAAATTCATTTAAAAACTAGCAAATACATACCTATATGGAGGGAGAAGGGAAGGGCACCTGAGCAAATGTGGCAAATTTTTAATGACTTGGAAATATATGTGATGGCCATACCCATGTCCATGATTGTGCTTTTCACCTTTTCTGTAGATTTGGGAGTATTTAAAATAACAAGTTGGAGGGAAAAAGAAATATTATTTTAAACAATCCATTTGGTTCATCTGGATTTGGTCACCTTAATAGGTGTACCCCAAAATACATGTGAAAGTTGTGATGAAACACACTGAATTATGATTTTTAGAAAACATGAGGGCAGGCACTCACTCCTAGAGCCTAGCACAGTACTCTGTACTTAAGAGCACAACAGAGGTGTTTGCTTATGTAAGTGGGTACCTATGTATGCAGATGTATGGAAGGGGAACAGAGGAAGAAGGTTGAGCAGTGGTGATGGAAAGACTCTTAACTACAGAAACTGCTGTAAATTACAAAGAACCTAGTTCTTTTCAAAGGTTGCATTAGGTAATACTTTTAACTCCTTTGCTTGAACTTCTATTACCTACTACAGTAAAGAGCAGCATAAATAGGTATGGTTACAGTGTCCAAGTATTTGATTTTTATCCTCAGTACTTTCTCCAAAGGGCAAATGGGTATTTGACAACTTAAGAAAACCTATGGTCACAGTATTTATAACCAGAGAGAAAATTTTAACATACACAAAATACCAGCAAGAACTTTAAGAAATCACCTAGTCAAATTTTTCATCATGTATGTGTATATATATGCATGTGTGTGTGTGTGTGTGTGTGTGTGTGTGTGTGTGTGTGTCTGTGTGTATAAAAGCCTAAGCAACCAATTACTATGACGATGCACTGACCACCAGGGGACAGATGCTCAATGTAGGAGCTGCCCCCTGGTGGTCAGTGCGCTCCCACAGCCAACCTCCCGCGGTCCCTCCCGCGGCTGGCTGGCCCTGATTGGCCCAATTGCCAGCCAGGCAGAGGGACCCCACCAATGCACGAATTTGTGCACCAGGCCTCTAGTATATAAATAACTGCATTCCCATTTTAATCAGATCTAAAACACTACACACACAAACACCACCAAAAATTAAATATCCATGAAGAGAAGACTTTTTAAAATAACAATGCTATCTGACAACATAATTGCTGGGCATGATAAAACCTGTGATTGCAAAGATAGTTATTATTTAGGGTAAAGCAGTGTGAGGCTAAGTAATTCAGATCTATTATATATCACCATACATTTTCTTCCAAATCTAGGATACAAATAAGTCCTGAAATCTGAAATCCATATCTGTCCAAAATTATAAATTCACATGTTTTGCACTTTGAAGAAAAAAGACATTTTATTACAGGACTCACTGGCAGAGTTGTTTTATTTTTAATCTACAATTGTGTCCCAAAGATATGGGATCAATTTTGGTGAAGAAGATACAATGATATGGTTTTCAACTATGGGACAAAGTAGTCAAGACTCTGACAAAGACCCACCACCCTGCTTCACCAAGCATATGGATCCTATCAGGGTCAAAAAGGAAAACAAAAGTATGTATATAAAGTTCTTGAATCAACATATTCTGGAAATCAATGTATATTTAGCATTAAAATAATTTTAAAAAGACTATATTTTATTAACATATAATGTAAACACAATTTTTTAAAGTAAAAGAACTATTTAAAAATTTTCTTATTTTAAAAATAGTTTTACCACAAGATATATTAGTTGTAATAAATAAATTAATACTGGAACACTTCCTGATACTAGTTTTAAGACCAAGTAGAAAACTACATTAGAGTTTAAATATCAACAAAGGTGGAGTGCCTTTTTTTCCCTTTAAATGCATTGAAAACACACATTTTACATTATGTTAAATATACAAGAAATAGAATGTTCTTAAAAATAAAGCTGTACTAAAAAGTGCTCACAACAGCCATTTCTATGTTTTTAAGTTAGAATGAGAATATGAATTTTAAGGGTTTCAAACTTAAAAATATTCATCAAAATATAAACAGCTTCATCTAAAGATCAAATTTTAGATAGGTAACTCAATTGAGAAATCTGTAAGTCAGTTTTAAAAACAGACATCCACTGAATATTATTTACCCACTTAAAAAGAATAACTTTATAAGTAGTAATATGTTCATAAAAATTGTAATTCCTCAGGGATATTGGCCTGTAATTCTCTTTCTTTGTAGTGTCTTTATCTGGTTTGGGGATTAGGGTAAAGCTGGCTTCATAGAAAGAACTAGGAAGTGTGCCTTCCTCTTGAATTTTTTGGAATAGCCTGAGAAGGACAGGTTTTAGTTCTCTGAATGTTTGGCTCAACTCCCCTGTGAAGCCATCTGGCCCCAGGCTTTTGTTTGCTGGAAGTTTTTTGATGACTGCTTCAATTTCCTCCTTAGTTATCGGCCTGTTGAGATTTTTTGATTCTTCTTGATTGAGTTTTGGAAGGTCGTATTTTTCTAGGAACATGTCCATTTCCTCTAGGTTGTCAAGTTTGTTGGAATAGAGTTGTTTATAGTATTTTTTTGCAATCCTTTGTATTTCTGTAGGGTCTGTTGTTATTTCGCCTCTCTCATTTCTGATTTTGTTTATTTGGGTCCTCTCTCTTTGCTTCTTGGTGAGCCTGGCTAGAGGTTCATCAATCTTGTTTATCATTTCAAAGAACCAGCTCTTGGTTTCAGTGATCTTTGGTATTGTTTTTTTGGTCTCTGTCATTTATTTCTGCTCTGATCTTTATTATCTCTTTCCTTCTGTTCATTCTGGGCTTTTCTTGTTGCTCTCTTTCTAATTCTTTAAGCTGCAGAGTTAGATCACTTATTACCATTTTTTTTTCTTGTTTTCTAAGGTAGGCCTGTAACTCTTAGGACTGCTTTCACTGTGTCCCATAGGTTTGGATTGTTGTGTTGTCATTTGTTTCCAGGATGTTTTTTAATTTCTTCTTTGATCTCTTTGGTAACCCAACCATTGTTAATCCTAGCAAATCGGATCCAGCATTACATTAGAAAGATCATACACCATGACCAAGTGGGATATATCCCAGGTATGCAAGGCTGGTACAATATCCGCAAATCAATAAATGTGATACATCACATAAACAAATTGAAAGACAAAAGTCACATAATCATATCAATTGATGCAGAAAAGGCATTTGACAAAATCCAACACCCTTTCCTGATAAAAACGCTCAGCAAAGTGGGAATAGAGGGATCATACCTCCACATAATAAAAGCCTTATATGACAAACCTACAGCAAACATCATCCTCAATGGGCAAAAGCTAAAACCATTTTCCCTAAGAACAAGAATGAGACAGGGATGCCCACTTTCACCACTCTTGTTTGACATAGTACTGGAAGTGCTAGCCATAGTGATCAGACAAGAAGAAGAAATAAAAGGCATCCAAATTGGAAAAGAAGTAGTAAAATTGTCATTATTCGGGATGACATGATATTGTACTTAGAAAACCCTAAAGACTCCATCATAAAACACAGACTTAATAAATGAATTCCAGCAATGTAGCAGAATACAAAATTAACACCCAGAAATCTATGGCTTTTTTATACACCAATAATGAACTCACAGAAAGAGAAACTAAAAAAACAATCCCATTTACCACTGCAAAACAAAAATTAAGGCATGTAGGAATAAATTTAACCAAGGAGGTAAAGAACCTGTACTCAGAAAATTACAGAATGCTGAAAAAAGAGATAGAGAAAGATAAACAAATGGAAGAATATTCCATGTTCATGGATTGGTAGAATCAACATCATTAAAAAGTCCATCCTACCCAAAGCAATCTATAGATTCAATGCAATCCCTGTTAAAATACCAACGGCATACTTCAAAGATCTAGAACAAACTCTCCAAAAATTTATCTGGAACAAAAAAAGACCCCAAATAGCTGCAGCAATCTTGAAAAAGAAGAACAAAGTTGGAGGGATCACTATACCAAACACCAAGCTATATTACAAAGCCACTATTCTCAAAACTGCCTGGTACTGGCACAAGAACAGACATATAGACCAATGGAACATAACAGAGAACCCAGAGATAGACCCAAGCCATTATGCTCAATTCATATTTGACAAAGGAGGCAAGAGCATACAATGGAGATAAGAGTCTCTTCAATAAATGGTTTTGGGAAAATTGGACGGATACATGCAAAAAAAAAAAAAAAAAAATGAAACTACGCCACCAACTTAGACCATACACAAAAATAAACTCAAAATGGATAAAGGACTTAAACGTAAGATGGGAAACCATAAAAATTTTAGAAGAAACCATCGGCAGCAAAATAGCAGACATCTGTCGTAGCAATATCTTTACTGATACAGCTCCTGGGGCAATGGAAACTAAGGAGAAATAAACAAATGGGACCACATCCAAATAAAAAGCTTCTGCACAGCCAAAGAAACCATCAACAAAACAACAAGAAAGACCACTGCATGGGAGAACATATTTGCCAATGTTATCTCCGATAAGGGTTTAATCTCCATAATTTATAGGGAACTCCTACAACTTAACAAAAGGAAGATAAACAATCCAATCAAAAAATGGGCAAAGGACCTAGACACCTTTCGAAAGAGGACATGTAGAAGACCAAGAGACATATGAAAACATGCTCAAAGTCACTAATCATCTGAGAGATGCAAATCAAAACAACGAGGTACCATCTCACACCTGTCAGAATGACTATCATCAACAAATTAACAAATGACAAGTGCTGGAGAAGATGAGGAGAAAAAGGAACCCTCTTGCACTGCTGGTGGGAATGCAGACTGGTACAGCCACTATGGAAAACAGTATGGCGTTTCCCCAAAAGATTAAAAATGGAACTTCCATTTGACCCAGTAATCCCACTTCTAGGAATATACCCCAAGAAAATTGAAACACCAATCAGAAAGGATATATGCACCCTATGTTCATAGCAGCACAATTTACAACAGCTAAGATTTGGAAACAGCCTAAGTGCTCATTAGCAGATGAGTGGATTAGAAAACTGTGGTATATCTACACAATGGAATACTATGCTGCTGTAAAAAAGGAATTCTTACCATTTGCAAAAGCATGGATAGAACTGGAGAGCATTATGCTAAGCCAGCAGTTCTCAACCTGTGGGTCGCGACCCCTTTGGCGGTCGAACAACCCTTTCACAGGGGTCGCCTAAGACCATCCTGCATATCAGATATTTACATTACGATTCATAACAGCAGCAACATTACAGTTATGAAGTAGCAACAAAAATAATTTTATGGTTGGGTCACAACATGAGGAACTGTATTTAAAGGGCCAGAAGGTTGAGAACCACTGTGCTAAGCGAAATAAGCCAGTCAGAAACAGATAAATATCACATGATCTCACTTATTTGTGGAATATAATGAACAACACAAACGGATGAACAGGGAGAGAACCAGTGTCATAAGAGGCATTGAATAGACTGTCCAACCTATGAGGAAAGGCAGGGGGTTAGGGGTAAGAGATCAACCAAAGGACTTGTATGCATGCATATGAGCAAAACCAATGAACGCAGACGGGGGATGTGAGGGCATGTGCTGGGGGTTGGGGTTGGCTGGGGAGAGGTCAATCGGGGGAAAAGGAGACTTATGTAATACATTAAAGAACTTAAATTTAAAAATAAATAAATAAAAAAACAACTGTAATTCCTGCATCAAAAACCTATGCAAGTATCAAATTCACCACTATGAATTACTTTTAAAAAAGTTTACTGTACTTGGATTCAACTGCATTGTGACAGGAACACAGAGTGATAAAAGTGGCTTTAATTAAGCCTATGTGTCATGCAGCACCAGAGAAGACTTGCTTTTTTAAAAGCTAAAAATCATACAGATAAGAATTTTTAGAGAAAAAAAAAATACAATGTTTTAAGAGGAACAATATAATACCTGTTTGAATCTTGACTCTGTGTAGTTTGGATGTGAACTGATCATTAACTGTGAATATGTGACCATTTTCTATTTCCTTTGACTTGGGTTCTTTTGTGAGAACTCGTTGTGTTGGTTTACCACAGGCGAGGGACTGCAGGGCTCTAACAAGTTCCCTTTCAGGGATATCCGTTTCTTGTTGAATTTCCTGAAATTTTATCAGATTGATATAATTATAAACAGACTTTTTGACAGGTTAAAGCAGATTAACTAGTAAGTAAAATTGATCAAGCAGTGGTTATAGAGGTAATATCACTAAAGTAATATTTTACAACCAAGAATTCCCCATTATGATACTTGGCCAAATCTCACTAATTTGGAAAAAACAACAAAAAACAGAGAAAACCTTGATTCAAATTACAAAATAAAAAAAAATACATGTACTTTTTTATTTTAGGAGATATAAGGCCCAATCTAAAAATATCCAGCAGAGAATATTAGGAACCTGCTTTAATAGTTAGTTAAAAATAAAGTGTTAACCAACATATAACTGCTACTTTTAGAAATACTCTACAATCTTCCTTCCAAGTTTATTAACATGATTCCTTTGCTTAGTAACTTCTTTTGTAGAGAGAAGCGAAGTAAGCTTGAACTAAGGCCTTCTATCAGACAATCAAAATTCATATTCCAAGTTGATCATATCTACTGTCTGTATGACCAAATTAAAAAAATTAAGTACCTGGTAATTAATACTAAATATGAAAAGCAATAAACCGTTATGAAGTGCAGGTGATAAATGTTGCTACATGTTATGAGATAAATAAAATATAATAAAAGCAGTTCAGGAAAAAAATGTATAGTTGCCATGAATGCATGGGTTTTAACTGCCATGGGTACACTGTGGATGTTTGTCAATAAATACAGCTGACTCTTCCCATCCGCTGTTTTCACATCAATGTATTCAAACAACCTGGGATGGAAAACAGTAGTTTTGCATTTTCAACAACAGTTTTACAATTGTTGAATCTGGGAATGTGAAGGGCCAACTACTATAGAGTCAAATTAGGGGTGGATTTTCAACTGGAGGTGGACAGGTGTCGGACTCCTAAGCTCTACCTCAGTGATGGAGAACCTATGACATGCGTGTCAGAGGTGACACGCGAACTCATTTCTTTGGTTGATTTTTCTTTGTTAAATGGCATTTAAATATATAAAATAAATATCAAAAATATAAATCTTTGTTTTACTATGGCTGCAAATATCAAAAAATTTCTATATGTGACACGGCACCAGAGTTAAGTTAGGGTGTTTCAAAATGCTGACACACCGAGCTCAAAAGGTTCGCCATCACTGCTCTAGCTTGTTTAAGGGTCAACTGTATAATTTTTAAAAATATGTTTTATTTTTTTAGAGCGAAAGAGAGAGGACGAGAGAGGAAGAAATATCGATGAGAGAAACAAGTATCAGCTGCCTCCTGCATACCCCCTACTAGGGATTGAGCCTGCATCCCGAGCAAGTGCTCTGAACTGGAATTGAACCTGTGTCCTCTCGGTGCCTGGCCAGGGCTCAACTGTATAATTTTTAAATTCATTATAATCTTTTGTCAGTGGTAAAGTAAGAGAATTGTACATGGATACGATTTAGTCCCTACCCTACACAACTAGAGGAATGTATGATGCAACAAGTCTGCACACTAGGCTATACCACTTAGATTCACTGCATATTGCATAGTCCACGGACATAGAAGATAATATAGTGAAGGCCTGGGGGGTGGGGGGGAGAGGCTCTGGATAGAGTGGGGCAAAGGGGGGGAGGGAAGAGGGGGACATCTGTAATAGTGCAACAATATTAAAAAACAACAACAACAACAGAAAAACCCCATACCACTAGGAAACTGAAAAGGCAAGTGAAAGACTGAGAAAATATTCATGGGACATAGATCTGACAAAGGATTGGTATACAGAATTTATAAAGAGCTTTAAAAATCTCAATAAATATATGAACACCTCACCAACAAGACACAGTGACATATGAACACACAAAAGATGCTCAACATCAAGGAAAGACAAGTTAAACCCACAATAAAATATACATCAGTTAAAATGGCGAATATTAAAAAGACTGATAATACTACATTTGGGAGAGTATGTAGGGCAACTGGAACTCTCCACTGATGGCAGGAATGTAAAACGGTACAATCAATTTGGGACATAGTTTGGCAGTTTCTTAAAAAGGAATAAACTACTAAAACCACACATGCAACAATATGGATTATTCTAAAAAAACATTGTGCTATGTAAAAGAAGCGCCACAAAAGCAATTCATATTGTATGATTCCATTTATGGGAAATGCTAGAGAGGCAAAACTAGTCTATGGTGATAGAAAGCAGATCACTGGCCACCTGGATATGGGGACAGTGGGAGGGAATTGACTGCAAAGGAATATAAACATTTTGGGGATAGTATTCTATAGATTGTGATGGCAGTTACATAGGTATGTACACCTGTTAAAACTCATCAAATTGTGCACATATATGAGGTATGTTTATTACATAAAACTTATACTTCAATAAAGTTTATTTCAAAAAGCCAAATGAAATGTGACCCAACAAGTGTATGATGTTCACAAAGATTACTAAAATAGTAATATTCATCATCAAATAATAACTCTAAAGGTTATTCATATAAGAAAGATTCAAGTAACATGTGAAAATTAGAACTAAAACAATTGGTTCAAATTTATATAACCAACCCATACCTCAAATGTATATTTTTCTCTATTATTAAAGAGCATTAGTATGGTCATCTGGAAAGTGGAGACTTGCAGTATGTGCTTCCGTGTATTAGAGCCAGTGACTTGTGCCCCTCCAACACCAACTTCAGATCCATCTTCCTGTTTCATTTTTTAAAAAACATAACGAAGACATTATCACATCCTGGTAACTTTAACAGTATATTTGAGAAATAACCCCTGTAATGACAAGCCCCTCTTTTACAAAACTACATTAAAAAGAAAATGTTATTTAAAAACGTGTATGTGTGTATGTACACATATACCAAATCTTCATTTAGGGTTTTTGTTTTGTGTGTGTGTGAACAATTTAATTTTACAACTAAAATTATTTTAACAGTACACAATAGAATAATAATGGACTTATATGACATTACTCCTTTATACCACTACCAAAAGTAGTAGGGTTAGGTTTCTTTTTGTGCGGTCTGGTGATAGCAAGATATCAAATGATAGCTAGGATATGGGGGAATCCTTTGCCATCCTTACAGCTGATTTAAGTACAAAGTAGAAATTTAAGTCTTCAATAATTGACATATAAATTTTGTTTTAAAAACCTACTGGTTTGTTTTATAAAACTTCAAAAGATAAAATAACTGTTTAGGAAAAAATCCTCTCCTTTAAAATCAAAACAAACAATAATTAAAAGCTGAGTTCTTTAGTATCCTTGACCTTCCCACTTACACTTAAATATGGGGTGGATCAAAAGTAGGTATACAATTGTGAGTAGGAGAAACAGAGTTTATTCTTGCATTATTTATTAATTATTGTATTATTTTTCCATATGAACAGCTATAAACCTACTGTCCCCTCACCCTGTATACAAAAGTTTCCAACATTATTCAACTAAATGAATTACAAGGATTATTTCCCATTTCAATTAAATATACAAATTAGAATACACATAGCCATTTTAATAACATATAAAACTACTAAAATTCTAATTACAATATAGAATAAAACAGTCATTTGCTGCCTGGATGACAACTTAGGTATTATCTTTTATGTTTTGCTGGAAGCTTGTTACTACTTTTCTATTTTTAAGGAAAATGACCCTGACTAAAGTTATAGCAAGCAATAAAAGTACTCTAAACCTCACAATCTTAGATATAAAGAAGTGATTACTTTTTAAAAATGAAGGCAATTCACTAGCATGGTGCTCACTTTAAAATAATCACTTTAGTAACATTTTGTACATCTCACAAATCTCAAGTGTTAATGTTTCCAGTTTTGAATGCTGAAAATTAATAAGGATTATAGGAGACCAAGAATTTGGAAAGGGGAGTCATAGCTTTGTATGCCCTCAAATCAACTTACATCTTATTATTTTATGCAATATGGTCTCAAGTCTAATCTTATAAAAAATGTGTAATTATTATTATTCACTCCATAAGGAAGACTACTGGTATAATCTTCATATTGTCAAATGAAGTTATTTAGCAACTGAGGAAACAGAGGTAAATAAAGCAAAGTTCCCACCTTTTTAATATTTGAAACAAGGAAATAGGAGAAATAATTGACCCAAGTCAACAAAAATCACAAATCAGTTCTATAGACTAATTTTAAGTTACTTAATATTTACCTTTTTGACTGGTCCATAAAAGGTGGCATTGAGATCTGCAGAACCCATGTGATGCTGGAGTGTGAGCTGCCGACCACTGTGTTTCGCTAAGTAAAACCTTCAGCAAATCAAACCAGGTTTTAGAGAATCATACAATTTACATATTTGAAATTATAAACTACTAGTGGCCCAGTGCACAAATTCGTGCACATTTAAAGAAATTTAATTAGAAGAAATATTTTAGTATCGCTATTCAGCCTTTTTCTATAATAGAAGTGTCAACCAAATTCACGATCGATAATGTCAGATCAAAACACATGCATGCGATTAGCACCAGCAAGAGATTTATATGTATCACGCATGCTCGAGTCCACTTAGCCTTTACAGATACAGAATAAACTTGCTTAATTAGACCTGCTTTCTGATGTAGCTAAACTTTTTCCAGCCCAGTAAAGGACCCCAACTTCTCTTTCAGGTAATTGTCAGCAACACAGAAGTAAATATCAACACAAAGCAGATTATTGTAGATCATGCTGGGAGAACAAAGGGTAAAATATTTAACTGCAGCAGTGTTTGACTATATTCTGCTCAGTGAGAAAACCTGAAGTCATTTTCAAGGTCCACCATTTCTTACTTCTTTTCAGTCGGGTCAAGTTTCTAAACTTTCTAAATCTCCGTTTTCCGGCTAATGAAAATAAAACAGGATTCCACTGAGTCTCCTACCTACCTACTCCAGGACTTCTGTGAGGATCAAATGAAATGAGGCATGGGAAAACACTTCACAGACATTTGGTTACAGTGTAAAATGTTTCCACCTGGCTATAAAGGAATTAGTGTTCCTGGGCTGAAGAAACTGCAAGGAGGCTAATTGCTAGGAGAGGAAGCCGGGCATTGCTATGTGACGTCATTACCCGGACGGCACTTACCATATTAGCCTTTTATATATAGATAGGATAACCCTTATGTAAGGCAGAGTTAAAAAGATAGCATGCACTAATGCTGAAGGACATCAATAAAAGATTCCTTTAAAAAGAGTTTATGCAATGCATATTAAAAGCATAAAGGATAATTCTCCTTTTGAACATCAGGTAAAAAATGGAGTACAGTTCTCGGGTTATGTCAGACTCGACGTACGTCATTTCGTGGTTACAGCGCCATCTCCCATTTATAGTATTTATATAAAAAAAAAGTTCCATCATTTCGACATATGTACATATGTGCTTTATGATTTTTATTATTTATTTTCCACAAGTAAAGGTCAGGAATTGTTATCTTTCTTTTAATTTTTTTTTACTGTTTCACTTCATTACTGCTGTGTATGTGCTCCATGTGAGTGACGTAGGTGCTTATGTAGGTGAGTTCCGACTTACGGCAAAAACCATGTTACGTCACGCCATAGGAACGGATCTCCGACGTAACCCGAGGACCTACTGTATGTATATTTATCCTCAATCAGGGACACTACAAATGCTCAAATTTATTTCAACTTTGGATAGTTATTTGTTCTTAGAAATACAAAGTTTGATCTACATTTACCTCCTGAATATCTCAAAAGCATGTCTTGGTGCTGGTGGGATGTTGCACTTTGGTGTGGCTGACTGAGTGGGCCAATATCCTGTTGTGAGCACCCGGACTGTGAGATCAACACCACCTAATGATACCTGTGTAAAGGAGAAAGAGATGTTCCCCAACAATTAACTAGGATTTGTTACCTGTTCCATATAGACACTGTGTCAGTTATCAAAGTAGTTAGTTCCATATCCAATATTGAGCAAATAAAACATTATCTTCTTAAAGGTTAGGCCCACCCGTGTTTTTCAAATTTTAACTCTCCTGGCGAAGATTTATATATATTGCTTAAGATGTTGACTTTAAAACATTGGCCAAAGGACAGTTGTTAGCAGGTGAACAAAGGGTTAGTGGTGTCATTGAGACATGCAAACTTTGGCCCTGCAGCTTTTTTACATAAAATGTTAAGTGTCATATCTGTGTCATTTTAAAGAAAAATTTAGGATACTAGCTCTCATCTCAGATTTTAGTATTTTTACCATATTAACTCACAAATAAAATACTCCTATTGCATTTACATTTGAAGTATATTGATCAACATGTTTTTTCATGTAGTTCACATTCTAACAAACTTTGCATACGATACTAAATCCTGTTCTACATAGTAGATGCTCTATGAATATTTGAATACGAATGACTACTATCTCTGTCACATTAGATATTTTCTTCTTGTTAAACAAATTTAAGAAAACAAAAATAAAGCATATAAAGATTCTTAAATGTAAAATAGTATCTTTATTATTGACTAGAGGCCCGGTGCACGAAATTCGTGCGGGGGGGGTGGGGGGGGGTGGGGTGGGTGGGTGGGTTCCCTCAGCCCAGGCTGCACCCTCTCCAATCCGGGACCCCTTGGGGAAGTTGGGCCTACACCGGCAGTCGGACATCCCTCTCACAATCCTGGACCGCTGGCTCCTAACCACTCACCTGCCTGCCTGCCTGATAGCCTCTAATTGCCCCCCCCCCCCGCCAGCTTGATCACCCCTAACCGCCTCTGTCTGTTGGCTTGTTCGCCCCCAATGGCCCCCCCCCCCCCCCCCCGCTGGCATGGTCACCCCATGCGGCCTGCTGATCAGTCGTTTGGTCATTCCCTCACTAACCCCCCTGCCAGCCTGGTCGCCCCACGCAGCCTGCTTGGTCGTCCGTTTGGTTGTTTTGGTTGTGACGATCGCTTAGGCTTTTATATAGATAGATATTCACAGCTTATTCTAAATCAATGTATTTTTATCTAACCTGAGTGATTTAGTGACAGATTTCTAAAAGGAAGAGATAAGCTTATAAAAAATATCTTGAAATATTACACTCAGATTTCTTCACAAATACCTACTAAATGATCACTCCATTTTAAAGAAACTAAAACTAGATAGAAATCCTAGATCAGTGATGGTGAACCTATGACACGCGTGTCAGAGGTGACACGCGAACTCATTTTTTTGGTTGCTTTTTCTTTGTTAAATGGCATTTAAATATATAAAATAAAAATCAAAAATACAAATCTTTGTTTTACTATGGTTGCAAATATCAAAAAATTTCTATATGTGACATGGCACCAGAGTTAAGCTAGGGTGTTTCAAAATGCTGACACGCCGAGCTCAAAAGGTTCGCCATCACTGTCCTAGATGATGCATAGGAGAGGATCACAGCAGAGACTCTTAGATGATGAATGGAGGAGGGCTGAGAACTGCTGGTACTTTGCAAGTTGGGTGGATTAGGGTGTTGAGCTCACAACTTGGTTCAATACACCCAAAACAGTAAGTCTTTTTTTTTTTGTAAACCTTTTCTCCAACATACCCAACGAAGACTTTACCTTCAAGTCTTTTCTTAAAATCTAATTTTTTAAAAGAGGCCTTGTCTGACCACCCTTCCCTATTACAGATTTCCTTTGTATATTCTATTGCCAGCTCAGGTGCTATGTGTTTACTCATCTTGTTTATCATCTGTCTCCCAGATTAGAATATAAGCTCCACACTGGCAGGGAATTTTGTCTATTCCATTCTCTGCTGTACACCCAGTGCCTAGAAAAATGCTTGGCACGGACAGTTAAGTGGGTCAGAATGCCTTGATATGTACTTGCCCTTTTCTACAGAATTAGCTATTATCACATATTTTGTTTGTTATGAGACTGTGGGACCATAGAAGTGGTAACCTAATATTTAAATATTAAAGGAAAGACCTACTATTTTAAAAAATGGTTGTGATATGTCTTAATTACAAAGTAATATGTACAGTCACTTGAGAGAGAAAACTTTTAAAGAAAAACTGCGGAGTTCTCTAAACTTAAGGTAAAGTTGTAAAACAGATAAAAAAAAGAAATAAATAAAATTCCGAACCCAATTAAATCCTTACAAAACCCCACTGGACTCCAAAGCCATAGAAGTTGCAGCTCACTGCCTTCTGGAGTCACAATACAAAACTACACTTAGAACATACTAGTGCCTGTGTTTTTATACTCAGCCCAGCCCCACCAATCCTGAGGATGTCAGATCCATTTAATATCAATTAAATAGGAGGTAACAAAGACAGCACAATCCTGGGGTAAAGTGAAAGGAAGAGAATTATATACTTTAGAAAGCTTGCATAAGCCCAATATTCTTTTCACAGTCTATAAGAATTTAACAGCAGAATCATTCTATTTATTAAATTTTCTGCACATTCCTTCAAGTGAGGAGGATAAACTGTTTTAGAAGAATAAAAAACAAATAATTTAACATCAATAGTTAGAAAAAGAGGTTATATGGGGGAAAATAATTTTTTAAAGCACTCACAGACACTAATGGACATTTTAAAAAATGACAACAGCAGTCCAGTTATTTGATATATAGATGAAAATGTCCATTACGTAAGATTTTACATAAAACATACAGAAATAGAAATAGAACAATTTACCCCAGTTGCCTGTAGATGTTGCCTGAATTCATCCATAGTTGTATTTGAGATGCTCATATCCCTAAACATTCCTTCCAGTTTTGATGTGAATTGACATCCACACTCAGTCTGTGTAAGAAAACAACAAATAAATGATGTTTTTTTTCTATGAGAAAACATACATATAAATAAACAATTCCATGTTACAGTCATCATTTCTAAATTTTTCCTATAGTTGCTCTAAGAGTACAGGTACCAAATTTTAGTGTTTAAAATGCAGATTCCAAATCTCTTTAGGATATTCCAATAACCTCACTGAAGGCAGGGGCCCAGAACTCGTGTTCACAAGCACCTCATGTGATATGTGTACAGGTGGTCTATGGACCATACCTTTGTACCTTTGTGACAGAACTATATAGTAATATTGCCTTTATTGTTTCCCTTGTACTAATCCTTCCCAGATTGCCATGAATGTACTGCCATGCTAAGAGCAATTCCAGCAAACTTCGAATATCTGAGAACTTGAATAAATGTAAGTACAGCTTTATAAGTTTATAAAAATAGTATTTTAAATCAGTTAAATATTTACAATCAAATGTTGCTGTTCAATCATGTGACAAACATTAGTTAGGTACACTCCATTCCATCTTATATACATCTTACCTTTAACTTAGATATCATATTTTTTTCAGAGTCATCAGAAACACTTTTATTTGTGAGAAGTCTTCTTGCCAAGTGTTGTTTATAATAACGTTCAAATACATCTTTTTCTTGCATAAACCTAAATAGGACCATTGCCTTATCCAATATTGTTTCTACTTCTTGTTCTGTTAGCTGCAAAATCAATTAAAAGAGTACTTAATAATTTCAAAATTTTAGTTGTACAAAAATAGCACCACAGTTCAACAGTTTAAAAACAATACTGTGACAACAAACATAAATATTTGGTTGCACTATGTCAGAAGGAGGGATCTCCTTAAGACGGTGGTTCTCAACCTTCTGGTCCTTTAAATACAGTTCCTCATGTTGTGACCCAACCATGAAATTATTTTTGTTGCTACTTCATAACTGTAATGTTGCTACTGTTATGAATCGTAATGTAAATATCTGATATGCAGGATGGTCTTAGGCGACCCCTGTGAAAGGGTCGTTCGACCGCCAAAGGGGTCGCGACCCACAGGTTGAGAACCACTGCCTTAAGAGAAGGTGCCTCCTACTTCATAAGGGAGCACACCACAACTCTGACATCCTATTCTAGTACAGCATCAATCAGGCATTGACATGGAGTTCCATTCCCTAGAGAAGTGGTCGCCAACCACTGGTCTGCGAGGTCCGAAAGGTTAGCCCTAGAGGGCTACTACTGAAATGATACATGGCTGGATTAAAGGATGATGAAGAACAGATGAAATAAAATTGTAAATGCAAAAATGAGTATCTTACAATGCCTTTGCATAATATGTAGGCAGAAACTTACATAGCCAAAAGACAGATATTTTCATATAAGATCAGTCAAAATCTAAATTGTGCAAACAGAAGGATAATAATTTGCTATAATTTAAAGCAGTGGTCGCTAACCTTTTGGATCTCTTGAACCCCCAGTGGTCCACAGACCACCAGTTGGTGACCGCTGATTTAAAGAGTAATAAGGCCCCATCACCCTTATCTTTTAAATAGGGAAAGGTGATACTGTGGCAGGTTGTATTAAGCTTATATTAAAAATTATGAAAGAATAAACAAATGTGTCTTTTATTCTGTGTCTTAATCGTTTGTTTGTTTCTGTTAGAGGAGCCTGTAAAACCTGTGAGGTCATTCGTTGCTTTTCCCTTTTGTCTCACAAATTCCAAGGTAGAGTAAAAAAGAGCAATTTATGTGTAATCACAATACTCTTAATTTAATTTTCTATGCTAATAGTGAGCTTCCAAGATCCCAGGTATACAATAAAAACTTGAAACTGAGCTTCAATATATGCTTTCAAACTATTTTCCGTTATTCTAGTCTATGCCTTCAAATTCCTGGCACCCAAGTATTATCTGATACATAACCCCAAGAACCAGATGAGAGCAACAATATCCTATGCTATGGCTGTGTAGTTGTTTGTTTTTATAGGTTAAGTGAAATGTCAAAGTACCTCTGGCCATTTCGATACCATAAACAATCCTTTTACATTTAAGCACAGCACATGCTTATTTTTATATTTAAAAATTCCCTAATTTTGTATTTGATTTCCCAAGCTTATATACAATTTTATATCTATAAGTAAAATTTAAATGTATTTTCAAATACACTATACTTACCCCTTTAACTCCCTTTTTCAACTTATCATCAATAAATAATGAGAGGTATTCAGGGGACCTGGAGTTGAGGTTGAGAAAATACTCAAAGTCACCCGCAATAGTTTGTTTAAAGAGTCGGTCATTATTAAATGATTCCTGCAGGAAGCGATCAAACCTACTCTTCAGATCCAATAAGCCCTTCCAAATAAAAAAGGAAGTTAAGATACATTATAATAATGTCTCTAGAAACAATATGCATGCAAACAAGTACGTTTCTTTTAACTTTGCTGGTAATATAAATGTGTGCATTCAGTGTTAAACTTAGAGATTCTATATTATTTTCAAGCCTGTATCTAAGCCTGTATTAAAATGTCAGTGATAAAGAAGTATTCTATCATTCATTTATGTCTTACTGCACTTAAGATGAACCAAAGAACCTCCTTACTTGTTTCTCCCCATCCTGTCTTTATTAAGTGGGCAAGCCCGAGAAAAATAGCTTAAAAAATGTACCATGAAAGCCTTTTATTTATATTAAAACAGGAAAATTTGGAACAAAATTTTTTGCTCTTACTATTGCTTGAAAGCAAAACATTTTGAAACAAAAGTATTTAACACATTTTTTTAATACACTAAAATATGAGCACTTAAGCATATAAAAAAGTAGAAAGGAATAACTTTCATTCTTACGACTATTTAAATAAGGTCTTTACCAGACAGAATAAATGAAAAGTAGCTGAGTCTGGCTTCCTAATATATACATACTTTGCAAAACTCTAAAATATTTAGGATAATTATATATACTAATTTACCACAGGGACAATTAAATAAAAAATACATACTACATTCATAATAAGTGACCTTTTTAGTACCTGTCAACAGTAGTTTATCATAAACTTAGAATCTTCTGTATTTACCTACCTGGATATAGTCAACGGGATTCTTTCCTTCGCCTTCCTCAGAAACAAGGGCTTTACCCTGCTCTCTCAAATAGGAACTCATACACTCACACATTGTTTTCAAACCATTTGGCACACGACTAAATAACTTGTACATGCAAGCAAGGTCTGTAATCAGAAAGCAAACACAAATCGGCTACATTTAAGATTAAGAAAAAGTGTGAATCTCTGTTCATGCTGATTTGTAATACTTAAACTTATTTCTCGATTGCAATCATTTGTTGACATGAAAAACTACTACCACTCCCCCAAGCAAAACAGAAAAAAGGAATAAACAGGCCAGTTAATGGTTATTATTGCAATTTATGATACTGATTCAGATGAGACACTCTGAAAGCATCAATAAAATGTCTCAGCAATTTTAGTTTACATGGAAGAGAAGATGCCCAAACTGTATAACAAAGCCACAAAAATGAAAACTACAATTTTTAGTTTCTGTATAACTTATCCTAAGTAATTCTAATCTAGAACCTAGTATTACTATAAACTGTATAAGGATAACTTTCATTATGGTGTAATTTGTAGTCAATAAAAAATTTTTTAAACCCATTAAAGTCTTATGGATATTTTTAAGCATGTCTATTTTAAAAGTTCAAACAATAACCATGAAAACAAATATACTAGAATTTATTTCATTTCATATCATGGTAAAGTTTACATGAAATTTACAGCATAAATTCCAATTCTTTAATATTTTCCTCAGAGCAATCTCTAATATTTCCCAGGTGATGTCTTAAAGCCAGTATCTATATTTTAAAAATTGGTTTATCTCAGAATGAAAACTTTAGACTCTGTCCATTTTTTATATCATTTTCACGGATTGAAATGTAGAGTTGAAATACTGCTTTTCCAAATGTCTAATGTTTCTTTGAAATAAGAACTTATAGGGAGACTATCATATTAGAACTTTAAAAACAATACAAAAAAAGTTTTATAATCAAGAACTTTTGAAAATGGAGTTAAAACAAGCAGTTTCTAGATTAGACACTGAGAATATTTTTTCTGTCAAGTGCCAAATAGTAAATATTTTAGATTGTGAGCCACATATGGTTTCTGTTGCTATTCAATTTTGCCATTGTGCAAGAAAGAAGCCATAGGCAATAAATGGGCATAACTATGTTTCAATAAAACCTTAGTTTTTAAATCTAAAATGTATATAATGTTCTGTGTAATGAAACGTATTCTTTTAAAAAAATTTTCCCCCACCAAACTGGTGGTGGGCTATATTTGGCAAACAGACCATAATAATTTACCTAGGCTGGTCTATATTTACAAGAGAAATTTAGATCCTAAAACTAAAGTTGTATGTATTTTTAAAATACTTACAAGCAAATTTTATAAAAAGGGCTTCTAAAATTTGTTTCAGTGACTTGCAAAAACAAATTTTATTTAAAAATAAGTTTTTATCAATAATATAAATCTAAAGTAACCTACGCTGAACAAAGCTTACAGTTTTTCTCATTTAGCATACAACCAAATTTCTCATGTTGAAAATAGGCATTACAAATTCAACAGTATGGATATATACTACAGTAAATTTGGCATATCAGATATTTCTAACACAACGGTTCCCAACTTATCTGTTTTGTTCCTATGCTGTCACAGTTTTACTTAATTATATGCTATATAGTTAACTGTATGTAAATTAATACATTTCATTGTCTTTCACTGTATATAAATATATGGTATAGTAGAGGATGTAAATGAGAAAATGAAAAATACTTGGCATTCAAAATTAAATATCAAAATGAGATGCCATTTGAACTTAACTTCACAGCACTATCTGCATCTGATAATCAGTCAATCCTTTTCATCCTCCACTTATGGTGGGAAAACTATTTTTCACTTTCTGATTTATGAGACATTTGGCTTCATAATGGTAAAGCTGTGACCCTGACCTATTCTCGACAAAATGATCACGAGCAGAGCCTAGCAAAAATTAAGATATTGCACAATTAGGTTTCTAGTGGGAAGTCAGGAAAATTGAAACCAGATTTTTACAATTCAATTTAGAATCACAGATAGTTGCTTATATATGGTAAGTAGCTATTGTGGTATTTCTTCATTCGTGTACTTAAGCACTTGCCATGTGTCAGGCATAATTAATGCTTTTAACTCAAGTCTCCAGGTTATAGAGATACTATAATTCAGGCATGACTAACAATCTCTCCATCAAACATTTCATAGCCCCTAATCTTCAACCCATTTAATCTCCCCCCTCCCAGCCTCTCAAGGTAGATAAGAAAGAATTAATTCAATGCCTAAACAGCACAGTAGAAAATTTTTGGATTTTAATTTTATTTAAATAGGGAAAATGCTTTTCATAAAGTCCAACTCTGCCAGGGACCATCAGGAGTCATCAAACTGTAGTCCATAGACCAAATACAAATACAGCCCATTGTCTTTTTGTACAGCATATAAAAATAAATCAAATGAAGTTTTACAGAAACAGTCAAGCTTATTCTTTTGTAATACTGTCTATGCCTACTTTCTCAATATGCAGTAGAGATGAGTAGTTTACTGTATGGCCCACACACCTAAAATATTTACTGCCTGCTCCTATACAAGAAAGTTTGCTAACCCTACTTAGACCTGAGACATGCAGGAGTAGCTTATTTTAGAAAACATGACAAACATACAGAAAATGATTTTTGTTCTGTTGCTTTTAGAAAAATGTTTACCAGAGGATTTTTTAAAATGCAACTTTTTTGGCTTTAATAAAATCTACAAAGTTATATAAAACTTTTCAGAAACTTATTACACGTTTACAAATATAACCATTTCAAAACACAAAGCAAGGATTCCATTGAAGGAGGCATGGAACAACCTCTCATCATGTTTCTTTTCCATTTTCTTATATCCTCCTTTCTTTAAAATTTTTCACATAAAAATTCTTCTTTTCATTCCCTACCTAGGTCACTACCCCAAATAGCAATATGTATTTCATCTATAGCTCATTACCCCAAACAGGCAATATGTATTTCATCTATAGGTCATTACCCCAAATAGGCAATATGTATTTCATCTATAAGGAGTATGTGGCTAAAACATTGCCAAAACTTCATCTAAGAAGCAGAAGAAAAGAAGAGTAAGTACCAGATTTATTTTTCAATATCATGTCAGTGATTTATTTATAAAGTCAGAGTTTTAAAGCAAAACTTCAAAAATTAAGAGTGAGGACAACATAACTGATTCCTTATTTCTTGGGTACTTGTCACAAAATACTGTTTTCAGGAAAATAAAGGTAAATAGCCCACACAAGGAAATGCTACAGTTGTCACAAAATACTGTTTTCAAAAAAATAAAGGTAAATAGCCAAAATGAGTAAATGCTACAGTTCTCAAAATTTCTATTTTTACTTTTATGCAATTCTCCCTTTTCCTTTTTTAGTCTATAACTTCAGAGTCCCCCAAAACCAATGAACTAATTTATTTAAATACACCAACAGGAAAGAGACCTATTTTTGCATTTTTGGAAACTTTATCACAACTAACTCACATAGGAAAGCCTACAAAAATTTTAAGATTGGAACTTCAGATTTTAAAAGAATCACAAAAACTACAGGACAGTATTTGGGAATAGAGTCCAAGCCCTCTAGTATATAACACCAAAGTACAGGAATAGATGAGGAGCTTGTTGTCCTCACCAGTATTACATTTATCTTTTGGGTAAAGAAAAACACAAAGTGAGGAGACTTAAGATGAAAGATAGAAAAAAGTCACTTCACTAGAAACATCTAAAATCCTCAGTAATAAATGCAAAGCTTTACCATTAAATCTTACCAAAGTAACAACTAAATTAGTGATATAAACCACTTCTTAAAAACTGACATTCATTATCTTAATTAGAGAAAAATTTAAAAATACTGAGAACTTGGTAGAACTATAAGGATTTTTCCAACTGCTAAGACTTACCTTCTGTCTTTCCATTTTTCAACATATGTACTAGCCCAGAATTCTCCATTTCTACTATAGTTTTCATGTGCTTGGAAATAAGTTCCCTCTCCACCACCTTTACAATTGGCTCTTCAGTTGATTTATCAAGGCAGTGCATCACCCGTTCTATTTCTTCATTAATTCTAGCTTCTACTTTCTTTATATATACTGAAGCACTGTTTTCTGCTAAAAATTTCTGGCTTTCCATCTGCAAATAGGAAGCATGATTCTTTAAAAATACAGAAGCAAAATGTGTTTCTGCTTTTAACTATATTTCTATAGTGTGTATCAAAAATCAAACTAAATATAATAAGCACTATTAACACTTTATATAGTGTATTACACATGATCATACAGTCTGCGTTATATACTTTAAAGCATTATTTACATAAAACTAAATTAATACATTATCCTTGAGCAGTGTTTTTCAAATACTGCCAATGTACTCCAAATAGCAGCAAAAGTAAACACATGCCAGAATAAAGCATCTGACTCAAAGTGAGAGTGGCAAATTCTTCTTTGATCTGTTTTAATTTAAAGTTATGCCTACAAGGAATCATCATGTTTATCATATAGTTTTGCTGGCATACTGTTAATTACTAAAGTCCTCCTGCCACCCTGACTCTCAGGCTCAAAGGAGTATATATACTGAAGTTGGAGAAATGGAGCTTTTAAATAACTATCAATCTTGACTGCTAACACCAACCTTATAGAGGTTCCACTAAATTATAAATGTTAACCCAAATGATTTAAACTTATTTGAAAGTAGGATTAATGAATATATCTAAGAATTACATAATAAAAGACATGTTGATATGAACTATAGATAAATTTAGTAACACTTCCTAACATCTTAACAAAAAGTATTCTTAGTCCTTGAAAATAATCAAATTTCTAAGAACATACATTAACACACCAAACAAAAATCTTGGTGAGATCATCTTAATAATCCCTGGCTATCATCATTACCTTATAAATACTGTCTTCTATCTGTCATGGTACTCAGTTATTATTATCATCATCCTATATAATAAAAGGGTAATATGCAAATTGACCCTAATGGCAGAACAACCAGAAGGACCACTGGACCAGTCACTATGAGGCACACTGACCACCTCTTGGTCCGTTTCCCTGGCCAACAGGCTCCAATCACCCAATGGCAAACAGGGAGCTGGGGTGAGTGGTGGCAGGGGGCGGGGCCGGGGAGTAGGCAGAATGGCCGACCTCTCGGTCCCTCTCCCCCTGGCCATCAGGCGAGCCTGATGGCGAATGGGGAACCGGGGGTGGGTGGTGGCGGGGAGCAGGGCCAACTTTGGGCAGCTGGGGAAGATGGCCCTGATTGCAGGCCAGGACTAGGGACCATACCTGCGCACGAATTTCGTGCGCTAGGCCTCTAGTTTCATTATAAATTAGTAATAGTTTAGCTTTGCTTTCAGCAATTTAGTTGGTTTTGGGTTGTATATAATGCTGCAAATGTGTATCAATTGTATTTACTGACCTATAGTTTTCCAATCAACAGTCTTGAAGACATATATGCACTATGGAATCATGCACTTTCCTACATTTATTTTACTAGTTACTTATATTATCAAAAGCCTGCATAGTGAAACTTCACTGGTGATACACTGCATAGTAACTTGTGGGTAAATAATTTACAACATAAGAGCCTCAGTAAAAAAAGGTCAAAAATATTCAAATTAGTAACCACATTTAATAACTTTAAGAACATCTTAAAAGAGCACTTATTTATATATCTTCACTGATACATAATTTTTTACCTGAAAAAATTCTGCAGACATTTCCAAAAAAGGAGCCTCAAAATCTTCTTCATAGACTGATCGTCCTTCAAGACCTAAAATCATTAACATCTGGCACGCATTTCTTATTGCGCCTCTGTCAAAAGAAGTTACAACCACTTGAAAATCAAATTACATCAAAGACTCATACAAAAAATACAACAGAAATAGCTAAAAAGTTTCAGAATATATTTTTAAAACAGTGACCAATCTCCCAGAAGCAGCTTCTTTGCAACATGAGGTTTTAAAGTAATTTTCATTGGAAAGCAGTACCTTGACTGAACAGGTATTTATCTCAAGTTGTTCTCATGCAATAACTTAAACATTTGAAAGAAATATGCTTAAGATGTCATGTCTAAATAGTCCTATGTATTTAAAAACACAAAATAAAAAAGCTATTATATCAGGAAGCAGGGAAGATGAAAGGAGGCTGCATTGCTTGACTTGTAAATTTTTGTACCAAATGACTTTTGGGCAATCCTGACCAGGCACCGATGTGGAAATAAAAAACTTTACAGCCCTAGTCGATTTGACTCAGTGGATAGAGTGTTGGCCTGCGGACCAAAGGGTCCCGGGTTCGATTCTGGTCAAGGGCATTTACCTGGGTTGCAGGCTCCTCCCTGGCCCTAGTTAGGGCTCGAGCAGGAGGCAACCAATTGATTTGTTTCTCTCACATCGATGTTTCTCTCTGTCTTTCCCTCTCTCTTCCACTCTCCCTAAATATCAATGGAAAAATATCCTCGCGTAAGGATTCTATTAGCTGCTTTGAATAGAGAAGCAGAGAAAGCAGTCTTGCATGTTTCAAGCCACTTGAGCTAGTGTCACTGTAATCATTAGAAGGAATATGAGAATAGTACAGTAATATTTCTTAGCTGGTTTAGACTATGTTCAACATTTTTCTTTAAATATGTTAACAAGAAAGGCTAGCCAAAAGCCCTTAAAGAAAAAGACAAAGGAAAAAAAATGTTATCACCCAGCCAGAAAAAGAACAAAATGCAAGAATAAAAAATACATGAAAAATCAAAGGAAAAAATTGCCATCCACTGTATACCCTGTGGGGACAAGGCAGAAGAACTCTTGTAGAAAGGTCTAAAGGTGAGAGAGTACGAATTACAAAATAACTCCTCAGATATTGGAAACTTTGGTTTGGGGATCCAGGAACACATCGATCTGGGGATCATAAATGACCCAAGCACTGATATCTACAGCCTGGAATTCTATGTGCTGGGTAGGCGAGGTTTCAGCATTGCAGACAAGAAATGTAGTTCAGGTTGCACTGGGGCTCAACAGAGTCAGCAAGGAGGCCATGTACTGGTTACAGCAAAAGTATGACCGGGATCACACTTCCTCACAAATAAATTCCCGTTTCTATCCAAAACGCCAATAAAATATTTTCAGTGAAATGTAAACAAAACAACAACGAAAATCAAATGGGAAGACTTATGGCTGAACTGCTTTAAAAAAAGTATACCAAATTAAAGGTTAAAATGGTCTCTTCTAAAAATAGAAGTGTGTTTTTAAGTTAACATCTATGTAACTTTGTTAACTGTGATATAAGCTTTTGAGAATTTTCATAATGTGCTAGAAAATCAAACTTTCATTTTAATAAAATTTTGACAATAAATTGGTTCTCAGGGTATAACTGCTAAAAACCAAAACCTAATGAGTTAAAAGATGATTAATACCGGTCTACAACTTCTCCTTTCCGCTCTCTTGCAATCATATCCAATAATGTTTGTCGTAGATGATCCCTAATACAGCCATATCGTACAACTTGATCTCGAAAAATAATTAATCCCAAATTGTAGACATTCTCCACATTATTTTGTTGTACATATACACGGTCCTGCAGTGAAAATAAAATCATAAAACATGAGTAGATCTCTTGCAGACATAATAATCACTGTAAGCTACAATAGTAAAGGAAATAAAATTCCAAAAGTAGTCAATTTTGCAGGTGAAAAACACTTCAAGCTATCTTAAGCAACACGGAATATTCTACTACCTCCTAAGTTATATAAAAGATTTTTCAATTTACAATTGTTACTGAAACAAACGATGCCCATTTACCCTAAAAAAAAGGGAGAAAAAAGCTAGCACACACAGGGAGGGGCAAGTAAGCAGAAAGCAGAGGAGAAAGGTAATCAGATCTTTCTTTCTCCCCAAAGCCATACCATGCTCAAACATGGTTCTTACTTTATTAAATACTCTACTTGAAGATCATATTCTATGAATGAAAATTGTGAGCTGAATGAAATACAGATCCAAATGGTTTAAGTTGATTGCTTATTGGTAAATATTAAAAGGCTCTAGGCTTATAACAGAGCAGCATTAAATATTACATAATTAAAACACCTCCAGTTACTATCATTTTAAACAGATTACTTACTAGTAATCATCTTATGTTCAAGTTCTTACCAACATTGATTACAGGTATCTCACTATAGAGCAGTGGTCCCCAACCTTTTGGACCTCACGGACCATCAGTGGTCCACGGACCACCAGTTGGCGACTGCCTGCTATAGAGCACAAGTAACCCAGAACTATTGGCTATGAAAGTCTAATTTTGGGCATTCTTTGAAATTTAGTATTACATCAAAATACATAGAAACAACTACTGTTTTTAATTCACAAAGGAATTAGTAATAGAATTCTCTTCTGTTCTTAAACTTTAAAAATATGTGTATATTTTTAGGTAATAAGTATTTTTTGGGTTTTTCGTATTTAGTTTATATATATCGAATTATTTATGTACTGAATAGATAAAAAAATGTCTGTGATTGAATAAACTTTCATTTTTTACACAAGAAACCGAAAATTTCATTTCAATCGAACCCATACTTCAAAAGATATAGGCATTTTAAACTAACTCTGATTTTGCGCGGGAAACCTAAATAATTGCCCGCGCCATCTTATATTTTGGCGGGAAATTCACCCGACACCGTAGTGTTAAACACGATTTCTCTGGGCTTTAGTGGGTCTGAACTTCCTAAAATTATAAAATTATTATTATTGTGTTTGTTCATATATAAGTACTTTGGAAACAAAGCTCAGAGCTTTCACCAGATTCTTAAAAGCATCTGTAATCCAAAAACAGTTAAGAACCACTTCATATGGATTTTTTAACATGTGTGGTGTGTTTTGTTCTGTTTTTTTTTGTGTTTTTTTTTTTTTTTACATTTTAGACAGTTTTTATTTATCAAAGTACTACATTACTTAGATTTAATAAATTTTAGAAGCTGTACAACAAACAGATAAGAATAATTTGTATCCTTTCTTTTAAAAGAAACATTGTCATTACAAGCAACATCAAAGCTACAAGCTGAACATGAACAAAAGTTCTAACATATTAGCAATGCACCTACAATGATATTGATTAACCTTCCAACCAATTTTTACTAAATTCTCCATGAGTACCACTCTCTTCATATATCATTCCTCCAATCTTCTTTTATGTATCTTACATAATGATACATACCTAATGGATAAAAGGAAAACTGCTCTTTTATTAGCATCTGTGGTGCTCACATTTTTTTAAGTCCTGAAATCAACTTCAGTGAGTTTGAAATTTTCATTGATAACTTCTCCGACAAGTTCTCAGGTTTCACACTATCCTCAAGATCTTAAATTCCAAAATTCCCTCTGAACACATCCTTCCTGCTATTTTATAGCTCTCACTGTTTCTTATGCACTGAAGCTACTCTTTACACTCATGTCCTTCAAGTCCAACTTCCCTACTGTCATCCAGGTTTGCCTCACGTTTCAGTATAAAACAAGTTGTCCTTAAAAACTGGCACAAATCTAACCTAATGAAGCAAAAAGTCACACAAGTTCAGGAGACCCAGAGATTCCCAAACAAGAAGCCAATCAGGCAAACACCCAGCCACATCATAATTAAAATGCCAAAAATTAAAGATAAAGAGATCATCTTCAAGGCAGCAAGAGAAAAGCAATTTGTTACAAAGGAGCTCCCATAAGACTGTCAGCTGATTTCTCATCAGTAACTGCCAGAAAGGGAATGGCATGAAGTATTCAAGGTAATAAAAAGCAAGAATCTGAAACCAAGATTTCTATATCCAGCAAGGCTATCATTCAAAATAGATGGTGAAATAAAGAGCTTCCCAGACATAAAAAGGCAAAATGAGTTTATCACCACCAAACCAGTACTGTAAGAAATGCTAAAGAAACTGCTGAAATGAGAATAGAGAAACAGACATAAATAATAAAAATGATGATAAATAAGTACCTGTCAATAATAACCTTAAATGTAAATGCTCCAATCAAAAGACACAGGGTGGTTGAATGGATACAAAAACATGAACAAATTACATGCTGTCTACAAGAGACCCACCTCAGAACAAAAGACTCACAAAGGAAGAGAGTGAAGGGATGGAAAAAATTTTCCATGCAAATGGAAATGAAAAACAAGCTGGGTTAGCAATATTCATATCTGACAGACTTCAAAATGAAGGCCATCACAAGAGACAATAAAGATCACTACATAATACTAAAAGGGTCAATCCAACAAAAGGATATGATATAACCCTGGGAAGCATATATGCACCCAACAATGGAGCACTTAAATATATATAACTTCTAGAGAACTTTAAGGAGAGATTGACAGCAATTTAGTCATAGTACAGTCACTAACTTCACTGGATAGATCTTCCAGACAAAAATTAAGAAGGAAACAATGACTCTAAAGGACACACTGAATCAGATGGATTTAATTGACATTTATAGAACATTTCACCCCAAAGCTGCAGAATATACATTCTTTTCAAGTGCACATGGGTCATTCTCAAAGATAGACCACATGTTAGGACATGCAAGAAGATTGAAATCATATCAAGCATCTTCTCGGATCACAATGGAATAAAATTAGAAATCAACTATAGTAAAAACATTAAAAACATTCAAACGCATGGAAACATGTTATTAAAAACAATGAATGGTTTTCCAATGAGATCAAGAAAGAAATCAAAACCTTTCTGGAAACAAATGAAAATGAATACACAACAACCCAAAATACATGGGACACAGCAAAAGCAGTCCTAAGAGGGAAGTTCATAGCACTATAGGCCTACCTCAAAAAACAAGAAAAATTAATAATAAACTATTTAACCTTATAACCCAGAGTAAGTAGAAGAAAGGAAATAATAAATAAGAAATAAATGATGTAGAGGCTAAAAAAACAATAACAAAAAAATCAATGAAACCAAGAGCTGGTTCTTTGAAAAGATAAACAAGTTTGATGATCCATTAGCCAGACTCATTAAGAAACAAAGAGAGAGGACCGAAAGAAATAAAATCAGAAACGAAACCGGCAAAGTAACAACCAACACCACAGATATACAAAGGATTATAAGAAGATACTATGAACAACTACATGCCAACAAGCTGGACAATGTGGATGAAATGGACAAATTCCTAGGAAAATACAATCTTCCAAAACTCAAGCAGGAAGAATCAGAAAACCTGAATAGGCTGGTAAGTACTGATAAAACTGAATCAGTAATAATAATAATAATAATAATAATAATAAAAGTCTCCCAGCAAACAAAAGCCCTGTTCCCAACAGCTTCACAGGGGAGTTTTACCAAACATTCAAAGAAGAACTAACACCTATCCTCCTCAAACTATTCCAAAAAATCCAAAAGGAAGGAACACTTCCAGCTCTTTCTACGCTCTTTCTACGAAGCCAGCATTATCCTATTTTCAAAACCAGATAAAGACACTACAAAGAAAAGAAAACTACAGGCCAATATCCCTGATGAACACAGATGCTAAAATCCTCAACAAAATATTAGCAAATTTGATCCAGAAATATATTAAAAAGATCATACGCATTGACCAAGTGGGATTTATTCTAGGGATGAAAGGTTGGTACAATATTCACAAATCAATAAACGTGGATTTTCTTAAGAATAGTAACTGTGCATGGAGGGACCTGGAGAGTATTATGCTAAGCGAAATAAGCCAGTCAGAGAAAGACAAGTATCACATGATCTCACTCATATGTGGAATCTAATGAACAAAATAAACTAATGAACAAAATAAATCCAGACATAGAAGCATGGAACAGACTGTGAAATATCAGAGGGAAGGTGGAGGTGGGGATGGGTGGGAAGAGATCACCCAAAGAATTTGTATGCATATACACTGAGTGGCCAGATTATTATGACCACCTGACGTTTGTAGGCAAATTAGCCGTAGACTGCATTGTATGGGATATGGAAGCCGAAGGCTGTTCGAACACCTTTGCCGTCTGCAGTTACCAAGATAAAACGTCTCCAATTCGCACAGGAACACAAGGATTGGACAGTCGAGCATTGGAAAAAAGTCATGTGGTCCGATGAATCACGTTTCCAGTTGCATCATGCAGATGACAGAGTGAGAATTTGGCACAAATAGCATGAAAGCATGCACCCCACATGAATGAGTACAACCCTTCAAGCTGGTGGGGACAGTGTTATGGTTTGGGGCATGTTTTCCTGGCATGATTTGGGCCTTTTAATTCGTGTGGGACAATTCTGAACAGCACAACATACCTAAATATCGTTGCTGATCAAGTTCATCCTATCATGCTGATGACGTATCCCAATGGAGATGGCTTCTTCCAACAAGACAATGCGCCATGCCATGGTGCTCGTATTGTGCAGGAGTGGTTTCAAGAACATGAGGGAGACTTTACCTTGCTTAGGTGGCCCCCACAATCACCAGATCTCAATCCAATTGAGCATTTGTGGGACGAAGTTAAAAGAGCCATCAGGCAGCTGGTTCCACAACCATCAAATCTCACAGAACTGGACAGTGCTATTCATCAGGCATGGGGTCAGATTCCTC